ATATTAAATTATTGTCAGAAGCATCAAATGTTCTAAAAAGTCTCAAAAGGAAGGTCAAAAGGTAACAGTCCTGCAAACAGTATGTGAAACAATGTATTTAACTTATTCTTTACAGCCAACTTTTTCCATGGTATATAAACAATACTTCTGTTACATACAACTAAAATGCAAAGTGCATTTTTTTATCCTATTGATTAAAAACATCACATACATAATAAATAATTTTGCAATGTTTTCCTAAGAGAAATTTAAATAGCAATTTAAGAATAGACGTGCCTTTCAAATGGCTGACTGCAAAAGCTTTTGACCATTAAGTCATTTGTCAGTGTGTCAGTTATTACAGAATCACAGAACCACGGGGGTTGGAAGGCACCTCTGGGGCTCATCGAGTTCAACTCCTTGCTAAAACAGGTTCTTGGACACAGGTAGGTGTCCAAGTAGGTCTTGAAGATCTCCAGAGAAGGAGACTCCACAACCTCTGTGGGCAGCCTGCTCCACTGCTCCGTCACACTGTCAGTAAAGAAGTTCTTCCCTGTGTCAGCATGGAACCTCCTGTGTTCCCACTGCCCCTTGTTCTACTATTGCTCACTGCTGAAATAGAGTCTGCCCTCACTGACTTGACTCCCACATTTCAGATGTTCATAAGCAGTGATGAGATCCCTCTCGGCCTTTTCTTCTCCAGGCTGAACAGTCCAAGGTCTCTCAGCCTTTCCTTGTATGGGAGATGCTCGAGGCCCTTAATCATCTTTGTCACCCTCTGCTGGACTCATTCTAGAAGATCCCTGTCTTTCTAGAAATGGGGATGCCAAAACTGGACACTGTTCCTGATGTGACCGCACGAGAGCACAGTTCAGGGGGAGGAGAACCTCCACTGACCTGCTGGCTGTGCTTTTTTCAGTTTATCTTATTCTTTACAGAGTAAGGAAATTGCCAACAAGGTCAGTTATATCAGTAATTCACATCTCTGCAAGTATTGCAATCCTCTCTTTATAAAGATTAAAACACGATCTTAATTAAAACAACCACATGAACCACTTCTTTCCTTTTTAATCTTTTCAGAGCCACCAACACAGTGACAATCATCACCTTAGTTTTATCTAAAACAGCTAACATAAGAAACTGTTCATCTAAGGGCTATGAGTGGGAAACACACTTATTGTCAAGCAGCAGTTCCAGCACATCATCCTGCACGGCTCCATTTGAATCACACACAGGATTTCCAGCCCTGTCCAAACGGTCAATGGCCACCTTCTAAGAGCATTTTCACAGTGGGTGCAGGAGGTTAAAATGTCCTGGATATAAAGCCAGAGCTCTCCCAACACTACCGCAGACTTGAGCTCAGTGGGTTGGGTTAGTGTGGAAGAAGATGGTAGGTGTTGACAGCTTGAGGTAGCACAGAGAATCATGTCTTCAACTACAGAATCTATTTCCTTTCCTTGAATATACAAATATAGAGCCAAGTTAGGAATTTAATGAGTATATTCAGTTTCATGTACGTCCTTAAATTATATTTGATTTATCACTTGAATGACTTTAACAGAATATTCTGCCATAGTTGTGTCATAATGATAACTACACTGACACAAAGAGATTCAGCATATTTAATTTTCTCCTTAGCTTTTTTACTACATAAATCTCAGGTTCATAAAACTTCATGGAATATCAGATGTATTTCAGTTACTCATCCAGGATAACTGTGAAATTCCTAGAATAAAAACTGAAGTTGAGGGAATTTCTTCTTTGAAATACGTGTTTTATGTTAATAGAATTTTTTTGTCTTATACATCTTCACTACTGCAACAAAAAACAACTCTTAGTGACATTGGGGCTATATGTGAGAACTTTGCTCATAAAGTGCAACAGAAGGAAATGTATATGTATGCATGTATACACATATATCTATGCATACAGCCAATTGAGTAGATAAGCAGTTTTGACTCTCGAGCTATAGAAATAAAAGTTCTTGGCCACCTTCTCTTTGGGGATTTCATATACCCTAGATTCTGATATATGGAAATCTAGGCTATAGAACTGGAATCTAGCACTTAGCATTCATTATACATACAAAGAAAAAAGAAGAAGGGAAAAGATTCCCCTGATTCTCTGAATCTGAATCTCTATTTAGATGCGACATCAGATGCAATCTTGATATTGTATCTAAGTTTTGGAAACTAACACTGAGTTTTCTCTGCTGCTACTGTTACCAAATGCATACGGGGAATAGTTCAGAAAGTAATCACTAAACTTTCTAATTGAGGGAATTTGAAATGCCTAAAATTAGCGAAGAGTTCTTAATCAGGAGATTTTGATAGCATTTCAGACAAGGAAGACAACAGTTCTTCTTTTCTTTCATCAATATGCAGAAACTTCATGAGCCCAGAAAAGGAGTTGTATGGAGACGAGGAGATTGTATGGGGTCTGCAAAACGACCTTTCCATGTCAGCCTCACCAAGCACTTGCAGATACAGAAAGTAGTCAGCTAAGGCAGAAGAAAAGTAGGCAGGTAGGAGTTGGATTATGGCCCACACTTTGATACTGTACAGTTCTGTACTGTTTACAGTAGGAATCAGTAGTCACAAGAAAGTCCATACTGTGAATGTCCTGATGATAGCCTGAGGACATTTTTCCAACCATACTTGGAAAAAAAAGTGTCACTTCCTTCAAACCCCAGAAAGGAGAACATAGGGATCTCCAACCTGTCTGTCTCATTCCAGGCTAGCAAGAATCACCCCAGGATTAAACAGCTGCACTTTCAGCCAAACCAAGATGAAAACTTAATTTGTGCATAGCATTAAAGCTGATGATGCCCTAGGAAAATCCAACATCCCATGTCACAGTACAGTGAAACTCAGAGATTCAAATGAACTTTTTAAATTATTTGAATTACAAAGAACTGCTGTGCCAATTTTAAATGGCTTTAAATTGCTTAATAGGCAATTGTTTTTACAATCAAAATAGTCCTTGGGTTGAAGATGCATAGGACAACACTCAGGATGCTTGTATTACACCTTATATGAAAGCAGAACTCAGACTCACTCAAAAAGAAGTCCTAAATTCTTTGTCTTGTACTAAAGTCTGGAAATGTAAGCACAAAATCTTTCCATTTAATACATATATTCTATATAATCAATGAAACCATCTCCAAAAAACATTCAAAATCTGACTTAAACGACAAAAAACTAGTTCATTACTATTCTTATCTTGGCTTATTTAATCTATTATAGCTCACAGCACAAAGATTTATAATCTTAATCTTGATTTAAGCAGTTAATACATGAGTTTACAAGCTGTCCTACTAAATCGGTGAGATATGACAGTATCTATTTCGAGCAAGATTAGATAAATTAGTTACAGCTCATAATCAGAAAAAAAACATGGGTTTTAAATTATCGAAAGTGGCAGAAGCAGGTTAGATAAAAATCACATTTGTGATGGATTTTCCTCATTATTATCTTCTCAACGTGGGAAAAAAAGATTTTACAGCCTATACACCAAAAAAGTCCCACGAAGCACTGTGTAGTTCTGAGCCTTTTAGAACACCATAGCATTTTAAACAGCTGTTCTTACTCCAAACAACAGAGTCATAGATATAAATTCACAGAAATTCACACAGGTTTATCAGTAACACTTACATGCAACTGCAATTAGCCAAGATAATACCTGGGAGAGGTGCTAGGTTTGGTACAGGAGCCAAGACTGAAACTCATAGTATGAACTCTTCATAATTATGTAATGTTCAGAATAAGTTGCAGATTTAAGTCACTGCTTGTCTGCATACTTCCTTTAGTTTTGGAATGGTGGCAATGTAACATCTGAAGCCATGAATAATGCTGAAGTTATGCTTTGCAGATGTTAGAGTTATAGCAACAAGTTCTATCGCACTTTTGTGTCACATTTCAAAGTTTCTCAGTAATACAGAGGAGGTAATGCAGGCAACGTGGAATTTCCAACTATTATTTAACCTGGCACTGGAGTAAAAGATGTTGAAAAAATGACGATTATTTCAGTTAGGAAGCTGTACTTATTTATACCTGTGCCATTTTTAACTCCTTGAGCTACCAGCTATTTCTTCTGCCTGAAGCACTGTCTGTAACACATCAGCCAGTCATAAATCTACATACGTTGTTACCTGAAAATTAATCCTGTCTTTACTTCTGCTTCTAACGGCACAAAGTAGCGGCTCTTGAACCAGACACGAAGTAGCATATGTAAAGTCAAAAGGTCTTTGCAGAAAACAATATTATGCTGGCAAATTTCAACACAAAGTGGATGTGATATCAACTTATAAACTTTTATAACTGCGTTCTACAAAACTGATGTATTTTAAACAATGATGGCAGCAATGACTACAATTGTTATGACAAGATATGTGCAAAAAATATTTGTCGTTGCAGAATTACATGCAGAAGTACATGATTGTAGCATCATGTACTGTTGAGGATTTAGAAGAATATTTTCTTTTAGCAGCACTAGGTGGAGACAGTGATTCACACAACACTTCACAACAGAAATGTTTTCTATCTGCTGTGCCATGGTTACCAGCAGCTAGCATCATTTCACTTTTCTGTTTATTACAGATTGCAGGCTTGCAATGTGTTTTAGCAGCTGCACCAAAGAAAGTAAAACAAAATTACTCTTGGCTTTGAGCAGGCAGCAGGACTCCCTGAATCTCACACTCATGTATGCAAATGTAAATTACACAACTTCAGGCAAGCTATGCACTGCTAGAGTTTTATTTGCAGAATATGTGTGAAATTTATTTACCAATGGTAACTTTGACAGCATCTTTACCAAGCCATAAGAAACATCCTCACCTAATTTCTTAAATTTAGTTTTTAAAACCAGAATATACACACTCATACTCGATTAAAAACCTCAGCCTTTTGGACAGCAAAAATATTTTTGAAACTCAGAAAAAGAGAAAAATGTCTGTAGACTTTACTTTGCTTTCCCCATAGAAACTCAATATATTGAGCCTACCATAGGTTATTTATGGTCTCACAATTAGCATCTGGAGAAAAAGTTTCACACATCAGTCATGAGCAATGATTGGTATCACTGCTCAGCCCCTTTCTTTAACTTCATATGGACGAGTTCTGAACTAGTCAGGAGGCACTAGAAGAGAAAAGACAACAAAGGTAATTGCATAAAACTAAACAACTGCCAAGAGACCATTCTGCAGATCTGCATTCTAAAATTTAAAAAGTGGTTTGTGATTCAAGAAGCTTAATGGCATCAAGACAACATGCTACTGGCAGAAAGTGACTATGAAATACTCTGCAAATCTGACATATTTGAATTTCAAAATTACAAAATTGGCCCGAGCTAAAATTTTATTTAGGCTGCTAAGACAAATGCAGTTGCAGTTCTTATTCTATCTCCCTGTTGTCTGAAATATGGGATTTCTTGGCAATGAAGTTATTCCAAGTTAAAATGTTTTTAACATGCTGAACTGCAGTGTGGGCTAATTTCTTAATAGCAATCAAATTCCAAATCTTGAATTTGGCTGAGCTTAGCTGTAGCTGACTGCAGTCTATACAGACACACTAGGAGATTGCATTGAAAAGGATCCTCTTAAAAACATCCATTTTAGTCAGCAGAGTCTTTGGAAGGGTATGGCAAACTTCCCTAGCAGACTGGTGGAGTTTGGCCTGGTCAGTGAGTGACTGGAATTCACACAGCCTGGGTTTTCTTCTTTAACTTTGTTTACACTGTTGCCTTTCAAACAGAATAGGAAGAGAAGATATGTAGATTTTATATTTAGCATAACTTATTTATTTAATAGTTTCTAGGCCTTGCAGTGGTCCCCTGATCTTCCTCTTCTCCAGGTTGCATTGCAAGAGAGATGCTTCAGTTCATTCGTGATCTTAGCAGCACTTTGCTGGAGTATGCCCATGTCCCTCTTGTACTGGGGGAAATCAGCAAGAAATACAAACTGGCCTCAACTGCCTGACACTGTAGTGTCAGCTGAGCATCAAGGAGATAGTTTCAAGAAGTGAATGCACTAAAATTCACTAATTCATATAACAGACAAGCCATCCATTCTGGAAAAAAAGAAAAGAGAAAAAAAGAAAGGCCATTTCAAAGGTAAGGGTGCTTTTTAAGCAAGGCAGATAACCATTTCTAGAGAGGATGGTGTGCAGTCTGTAGATGTCCCACAGCCTTTTGCTTGGTACGAGGGTAAAAAGGACAGTTGAGCAGGCTGCTTGAGGGTCAGAAAGTCAGCAGCTGAGCTGAGTTAATATACCTTGTCCTCCCTGGTAAACATTCACCAGTATTATCTATAACAATTTACCCCTGGAAGAATAACTTCTATCATTCATATGTGCTCCTATCTGATTCAATCTAAGTATCTATGGCTTAATCAGGATTACCAGTTTCTCTAGCTGATATAGAATCAAATTTCTTAACAGTTTTAATGATATCATAGTCTTTGAAACTTTACCAACACTGACATTTACTCTGAAAAAAATAGCATAAATTTAGCTGATCATATAAAATGGACAGAAAAGGACTTTTGTAGGTCACATTCAGGGCACGGAGGATTTCTGTTTGTAGCTTGTGACAGATACTGAAAAATCTCCACGCTGTCATTCCAGAGTATTTTACCCCCAGCTTATAAATATTTTAGTCTTCATTGCTCGGCAAATGAATGAAAAGTCTAGCCTATTCTCTTCCTTCTATTTTTGCAACAACTCACTGTTCTATTCCATAATTCATTAAATTGGACTACTTATTACCACTCAACTTGAATCAAGTTCCGGTTTTCTAGGGAGTGTTTCAGAGACAGAGCCGTTCAGTAGAACAGGTAACTATTAAGCTACCCACCTGCTGGCTATTTCTTATTCATTCATATTAATGACAAGTCAAAAAAATATGTAGGAATTGTTGGTGCTCTGGAAAATCCAACCATTTTTGGTTTTGTATAAGGCTTCAGAAGACTGCGTTCTGAGAAATTTAAGCTAAAGTCAAGTCATATTTCAAACTTGCATGTTACATCTACTACTTATAAAGCCTAAAAATTAATGGAAAACATCTCCACTGTAAGCCACTGAATTAATGATTTATCTATAAGCACTGGTATTAATACTGCTCATAAATAACTCTCCAAATACACTTGAATATGTAAAGCATTTTGGACTGTATATGTGAGGATTGAGAGGAGAAAAAAATATCCTTTCCCCTTTGCCTATGAAAAGAATTTATAGGTGAAGTCCTTGCTTTTAGAGATTTTCCTTTTTCTCCTTGCCACAGCTCTGAGATAACCTCCATTACAGAAGTCCAACATAGCTGACAGACATTGTACACACCTGCAGAGCTACACAGCATCCACAATACTGCTTCGAACTGTACCTTTCTTTATCTCTCAGCGATGAAACATTTAGCATTCATGGTTTACTTTGGAAAGCAGAAAAGCCTTGTGCATGGCAGAATTCCATCTTTGTTCTATTTTCCATTTTTAAAGCTGGGGAGAGGAAGGACTCTACCATTAAGGAGTAATTATGTGCACATTTCTATAAGGATGAGAGCAGAGAACTGGCAAAGCCTGGAAAACAAGGCCAGCATCTCAAGTAGCTATGTGGGCTGCAGGTACTCTTGAGTAAGTTGTGTGGTGCATTGCTTACATGCTACCCGCATTCTTCTCATACAGTCACGTTTCTGCTCCTGGTCACAGTTTCCTCCACACACACTCAATCTATCATGCTGTGTATAAACAAAACTGCTTTTCTGGCAAATTATTTCCAGATTACACACATAGCCACTTGTTGATAACAACTGACATTTAAAAGTTGAATGTAGCAGGAACCTAATAAGGGACAAAATCACAATGAGGCTATGTGAAGGCATGAGATAAAACAAAGAGCAGTCATTACAAAGAGGAGCACAAGGTAAGTGTCCATACTTCTAATAGGCCAATGGAGACCAAAGCAGTTCAAGTGCTCAGCTGAAATATGAAAAATAAACACAGCAAAGGTACCAACGTGACAGCTATGCACTTGAACTCTGCGAAGGGCACTAACCTCAAAACATATCCAACCCTACAGAATTGGGTTAAACCGCCATCCATGCAATCCCTACAAAACCCCCAAACAGCCGAGCGCCAGCATTTTCACCTATGCTATCAGGTTATATCCAGACCTTCATCAGTCACATATTCCGTTCCAGCACATTATTACATTATTTATTTTCTGAAATGTAAGGTCAGCTCTCATTTTGCATGAGTGTAATTGTATTTAAATAATGAATACCCTTAATGAAATTCTTGTTGAACTGAAACCACTGGAATAACTTCCATTGATCTCGCTGCAGCCAAAATTTGAACCATGGGTTTCAACAGCAAAAGACAAAAATCAAAATATATTATTCCAAGTAGAATTACTACTCTCCATTTAGTGGAGTTGCAAAAAGACTCATGTAGTTTTGTGAAATGAAAGGAGTTTTAGTGTTTATTAGATATGTATCAACCTACTGGCAGAACAAATGTGGAAGGTAAGATATGTGCATTAGAGTGATAATTCACATACGTCACTACTGCCAGGTCCCTCTAAAAAAAAAACAAAAAAAAAGAAAGAAAAAGGACAAAATAAGTCTACCTATGATGTTTATGTTTTTACAGTGAAAACTACTTAATATTCAAAGCTGTACAATGTGGGCAGAATAAACAGCTTTTTAAATTTCTCCTTTCTGTTCAGACTCACGCTGCATCGGCTGAAACACTGCATTTCAGCCCCTGAAGATCTGATGCACTGATCTGAGGCACTGTGGCTGACCTATTACAGATGATTATAAATTAGAGAAGTCCTCGTGTTGCTATAATTTTCTAGAGATTGCTTCTTAAAGCCATAAGGTGAAAAATAAATAAATAATTGTAAACTACCATTTCCTATGTCTATGCTGGATTTAGCTCAGCTAGAAATACTATTCTGGAGCCATAAGCAGAGTGCTCAATTTATTTAGTGCCCCGTATGGAATTTACACAAGAAACAAGTTAAGTGCTCTAATACAAAATTAGAGAAGCTGTTGGATTCTGTGCTGCTTACTCCTGGAAGCTCTTGTTATTTTTGTACAACGCCTGTGCTTCAATTATACCTAGATTAAATGGGGAAAATTATTTCCTTTCTTCAAAAAGATGGCAAATTCCTACTAGGCTGCGGGATATGAATATACTGTAGCAATGTCATGCAATGTAATTAAAAACCAAGAAATGCATTGCAGATAAAAGTAAACAGTTTGTGCTTTTCAATTATCACTGCTTTGTTTTTGCTGTGTGAATTATTTGCAGGATTAGACTGCTTGGAAGTTGATAGTAGTGGTCTTTTCTTTCATTTTGTGCCGTTCTGGAGACTAGAGGAGCCTCGGGAATTAATTGCAGCCTTCTAATAACCACAACGATGTAATGACGTATTTAAGATCACTGTTTTTTGTTTGATTCCAAATAAATTGCAGATTTTTTTTTTCCGCTGTGATACTAAAACAATTACCTTTTTGAAAAAGGATAATTAATCTACAATTTTTTCACATTAGATCATGTATCTCTAAAGAGTGCCCACAGATTTGATGGTCTTCAGCTGCTGTGTATTTATTTTTCATTTTTTCTAGTGATGTACCGCCCCATCAGCGCTGACATTTAAATGAGTGAGTATTCAACACAAATGTGATCATTTGTATAGCATCCAATGTGGCACCATACTGAGATGATTGCTTCTGGGAGCCATCCATGGGTTCTCGAATAGGGGGGAAATGCCAGGCAAAATTTTATCAATTTACATTTTTCTGTGATTAATTTTTATGCAAATAAGGGCCCGACCGTGCTCCCATCTCACCTGAATCATGCGGATCATCAAAGACAAATTGAGCATCACTTATTTAAAAAATAGGCTTTAAACTACTCTACAGCTGTGTTGGAAAATGCTAAGAGCAGGGCATGAACTTTTCTAATATAACGGGAATATAGATAAGAAAATGCTTCTTTTTGCATTTTTGTCCACACTGTGATAAACATGAATCTTAACAAAATCCTAAAAATTGTCTTTGTTTTGTATTCTTTATGCCCTTGTAAACATTTGGCCACAGGAAAACGGCATAAGGGCATTTTTCCAATTTCAGAATACAAA